TGAATTATTGGAAGTTTCATTCCACTTATTAGAGTGATATTTAGACGTACACTGTAATTCCTTGAGCCCATAAAGAAAGTCAAGGATCTTAATTTTTATTATGCAGCATTTTACCTACAACATAAGTGATAGAATACGAATTCTATTTTCAATTAAAATAAACTTTAAAAATTCCCTCTTCGTTTCAGCTCTGGGTTCAATTCTGGTTTTAAATATTTGTTTCCCACACTGAAGTATACAGAGATAAAGGAGCATCATGTCTGCAGCTCATTCTCAAAACTTTTAGAAAAAAAATCCTATACGTACACTTACACACAGTTGCACACACACACACACACACACACACACACAGGGAAGGATAAGCAAATGCAATAAAAAGTTAGTATATGGGGAATCTAGGAATTTTAGGAATTCGGGCAATTTTGCTGTAAGTCCAAAATTAAAGAATTTAAAAAATAAGTTCCAAACTTGATTTTTAAAGGAAAAAAAAAGCACTAAAAGTTGCTTGAAAGTTTGGTCAATATCTGGACTAGATCATTGTTCATTGTTCTATAACTGTATTTTTCCTTGATCATGTAAGTCTAGATTTTTCCATAGATCAGTATATCAAGTGGAGAGTTCTCTTCTTTAATTTATATTTTTAAATTTCATAATAGACTAGGTATATAAATATTTGGAGAAAGAATATAAAATAAAGAACCGTCATACAAAAAATCATGTCATTGTTGCTACCAAATTGCATTGACATCAGAGACTCACTGAACGGCTGTCAGATCTCTTCTTAGTTTTGCAGTGTCATGTGTGGGATGTTGAAGCCTGCGAACTTAATTTGTTTATTTAAAAATTTAAGGCAAATGTAACACATTTTCAAATACCGTGATTTGTCAATTAAGATGCATACTAGAGGGTGTAATTTATTTGCAGGGTGATAGCCAAGTCTTAAAATGATCAGTAAGAAAAGAGTCTGACAGTAGCTGTAAATAGAATTAATGTGAATTGTCAAGGTAATTTTAATGAAGCATTAAAACAAAAGTGGATTTTTGAAAAACAAAATTTTTGAGTAAATAGCAAAGAGTAATAGCAGATTAAAAAGTAACTAAATTAATTTTTAATTTTAAAAAAAGTCAAGGGTCAGGACACCTGGGTGGCTCAGTGGTTGAGCATCTGCCTTCGGCTAAGGGCCTGATGCCAGGGTCGTGGGCCACATCAGGCTCCCAGCAGGAAGCCTGCTTCTCCCTCTGCCTTTGTCTCTCCCTCTCTCTCTGTGTTTCTCATGGATAAATAAATAAAAAATCTTTAAAAAAAAGTCAAGAGTCTTGAAAATCCAATTTCTATTCCTTGTGTTAAGGACCTCTATTAAGATAATGCCTCAGCTGTTGGGTTTGAAAATTGGCTTCCAATTCCATTATCCCTTTCCACATTTCTTTCTTTTAAATAATCAGGTCAGGGGCACCTGGGTGGCTCAGTTGGTTTAGCTTCCAGCTCTTGATTTTGGTTCAGGTCATGAATTCCAGGTCATGAGATTAAGGTTGAGCTCTGCAAGCCGCTCAGGGTCTGCTTGTTCCACTCTCTCCTCTTGCTCTCTCTCTCTCAAATAAATAAATAAAATCTTTAAAAAATAATCAAGTTAAAAAAAAAAAACACCCTGAAAGCTAAGGTTAGTGAATTTTTTTTTGTTTTTTGTTTTTTTTTTGGAATCACAAATCAGAACGAAAATGATAACTATGTAGGAGAACTCTAAGAAAACATAAACACATTGCTTATAATTGATACCTTGTGGAAAACTTTTAAGGATGACTTTTAGGGGGCTCCTTGAGCCAGGCTTCCTGGCAAGATGCTCCTCTTTGGGTGTCCCATATTATCTGACTGCTTCAAGCTACTCTTCATGAAGGCTCTTCATATTAGCTATGAGATGAGTGCAATTCTCTATTAAGATAATAACTAGAAAAACTCATCTCTTGATGCTTGACAACAGTCATACTGACCCATGTGCACAATACCCTGAATGTTTTCCAAATCTGAGTTTGTTTCTCAATAAAAATTTTAAGTGGACCTCTTGAATTCAAAAAATGTTGGTACTCTAAGGGTCTTAGTTCTAAGAAACTGCAAGTCTCGACGTTTGGAGTCAGTATATTGGCTACTAAGCCAATCAAAATTGGATCTGTAAAAGTTGGCTGCTAATTTTGACTGGGAAGAAATATGTTAAAGAACCAATGATTAACACAGACCTATGAACAGAGTACAAAAAGTACAAAGCAATAAAATATAAGCCAACATTGCTACAGGTTCCTCAGATTCTGTTGTGATTATGTGAAAAGAGATTTTAATTTGGTATGATTTTACTCCACTGAATTTTTAAATGAAACTTGCATGAAGATAATATTTTAAAATGCAATAAGTTTTCCTTTAAATTACAGATTTCATGTTCATCCTGCTATGGAGAATTTGTTTTTATTTGTTTTTATTTTTTATTTTTATTTTTTAAAGATTTTATTTATTTATTCATGAGACACACACACACACACACACAGAGAGAGAGAGAGAGAGAGAGAGAGAGGCAGAGACACAAGCAGAGGGAGAAGCAGGCTCCATGCAGGGAGCCCGATGTGGGACTGGATTCTGGGACTCCAGGATCACACCCTAGGCCAAAGGCAGGTGCTAAACTACTGAGCCACCAGGGATCCCCGAGAATTTGTTTTTAAAAGGCAATTAAGTACATGAATTAATAAAACCCTAAAAAACAAACAACAATAGCTATTATCCTGACCATTTTGGCCACTCCTTATGTATGGTTGACGTGATCAAAAGGTCCTGGTCCTGGTCAGATATCTCCATGGCTCACCTTTATTTACTCTCTAAATAATTGCTTCCCTTCAGCAATGCCTAACACTGGACTCTGTTTCTTCTTCTCGCCCTAGAAATCCGTGCCAAGTCAGAAAGAGAGAAAGGACTCGTACATGAAGAAAAGGGGATTAGAGGTTATATTTTTGAGAGATTGAGGATACTTTGCCATAGGGATTTTGAAATTTCTTTAGCTTTAGAATCATGGACAATTTTTATAAACAGTGTGGGAAAACAAATCTTCCAGTATGCCTTTTATTTGTATTTAGGCTTTTCCCCTTTTGGAAAGAATACAAAGAACTGTAAAGGCAGGATGAATCAACCTGAATGATGTCATCTGACACTATAAAGGGACAGAGAATTAAGGAAAGAAGTCATATGGTTTTAAGTCCAAATTTGAGTCTATTGGGATTGGTGGGGAGTGGGAGGAGAGTTCTCTTTACTTAGGGAGATCCAATGGTAATCTTAAATCTGGTTATAAATTTAGCATTTCTAATTGCAGATCTGCAATCCAGATTCCAAAAATATAAAGGTTAGAGAAAACCTCTTTGCCCTCCACCACACAATTTTTAGGGCCCCAACATTCGTGCCTTCTCCAAGTGGAAGACTTTTTTTAAGGTTTTATTTATTTATTTGAGAGAGAGAGAGACAGAGACAGAGCATAGGTGAGGAGGGGCAGAGGAAGAGGATCTCAAGCATACACCCTGCTGACTGTAGAGCTCAATGTGGGGCTTAATCCCAGAAACCCTGAGATCATGACCAGAGCTGAAATTAAAAGTCACTTAACCAACTGAGACACCCAGGTGCCCCTCCAAGTGGGAGACTTCTTAATACAGGAGATGCTTGGATGACAACTTTTTCCAGAATGTAGCTAGAGAGCTTTTATGCTGCATTTCTCTCCCTTTCACAGTAGATAGCTATGTGATTAGAAATATCTATCCACAAATGCTTGCATTTTCTAACTCACCTCAGAAATGAATTTGGAAAAAAGGTATCACTATTAAATTACTTGCCACCTAATCCTTTTTGTTTTTCCCAAAGATTTTTAGACATCAATCAGTTATCTGGATAAAGGATTAAAAGTCCTAAAAGTAGCAGGATTAAAATCATTTGCCTAAACAAGGAAATTGAAATAAGTCTGTTGAATGGACTCTGCTTTCCTTGTGCGATGGGACTCTGCAGTGTGAAATGTTTTATATCCTCTGTCTGCCAGTTCTGGTTCTGCCCATTATATATATAAAAAGCTTCTTCATCCCATTTTCAGCTTCCTTCTTTTTTTGTTTTATTTTTTTTTTCTTTTAACAGAAACGCTGGCATTCACCTTACTGCCAAGAATAGCTCAGAGCTGAAGTTCTCAGTTTAGTCATGAGAATTACATTTCTCTCCGCTTTGGAAATACTCTTCCCCAATCTCTGTAATTATGACCCCCAAAGGGCTAGGTGATTTCAATTAAAATGAAACATATCGCTTTGTAGAACATACAGGATGGTGCATATGTCAACAGGAAGAAAAATCATATTGTTGATTTTCTCTTATCAGTAATACATATCCACATATTAAGATAAGAATTTTGTTTATAAGAACATCTCTTCCTTAAAAAAGGTTTTGTACGTGAAGCTCAGTTCCAGTATATTAAAATGTATGCTTGTAGATTTCTTAGGTTGAAAGGTTTTCAGATGATGACTATAACTTATAAGAATGGTAGAAAATTTGTACACAATTTTCCTGTTGGAAAATACCTACTAGTAGCAGTTATAAAATACACTGAAAAGAATACAAGAGAGCTCTTGAATGGTCTCTTATTTTTCATCATACGGTCCTTTTTTTTTTATTCATCATACGGTTCTATTTCTGAATCTTTTTCTCAATCAGTCTTGAAAATATAAACATATTTTTCCTTTACAGAGAATTGATCAGGTTAATTTACCCACAGAAATGAGCAAAAGGAGAGTAGAAACATGAGCTCGGCATGCTATTTTGTTAATGGTCCATATAAACCAGTTATGCATGTTCAAAATGATACTTTCCAAAAAAAAAAAAAAAAAGATACTTTCCTAACCTTGTATTTAATGAATTATGAAACCTCCATCTTTAGCATGAGCACACATGCCGGAGTCTCTGCTTTGTCAGATTATATCCTGAGAGTTATGTTTACTTACAGAAGCGCAGTTTTCAGACTTGTCTTCCACAAAACCAATCTGGCAAGGTGTCCTTTGATTCTGCAACCAGTAGTCTGTAGACTCAAGCAGGCTGTTGCTGCAAAGAACCTGAAGGGAATCAAGAAAACCTTCTTAGTGTTACACGGCCAGGCTTTCTATTTCAACAAGCAGCTCTTTTCTGAAGAATCTGTAGGTGTTTTCTTTACCTCAGAGCATCTGAATACTGGAAAAAAAAAAAACTGAAATGATAATAACACCTCCTGAATGTGTAAAATACTCAACCAGGAGTGGGTTTTAGAGGAGTACACTAATATTAATCCTGATGTTTCTTCTGTTATCAAATCTAACATCTGGAAACTTCCATGATGTCCATGTGGAAACCTCAAATGATGATTCTGGGGTGTGGTTCAATTGGCAATGGGGATCAAAGTTCATTTTAGTGCTAGGGCTCTTGCTCACTCTATGAATATTTTCAATCTTAAAAAATGTGATGTTTTTCCTCTGGTGCAATGTTGCTACTGAAATGATGATCCTTCAGCTTCAGTTTTGCTAACATATCTGTGAAATAGGGTTCAATTCTTGTAGAATATCTAAAGTACTATACCAACTTATTAGGAATAAGTAAAGCTCATCGTGATAAACATTTTCCATGTTGAAACAGTACAGTAAAGCAGAACAAATCTGAATATGTGAATCAACAAAACCAAGATTTATAAATGACATGCTTCTGGGCTTGGTTTTTAAACGAAGGAAGAAAATTTGTTTACTTTTAAATTTCTTTACTTTTAAAAATTTTATTTATTTATTTGTTTGTTTGTTTGTTTGTTTGTTTGTTTATTTGAGAGAGAAAGGGTCTGAGAGTGAATGCGCACCTGGAGGAGTGGGGGTGGAAGGCAAGAGGGAGAAGTAGGCTCCTCACTGAGCTGGGAGCCCGAGGCAGGGGCTCAATCCCAGGACCCTGAGATCATGACCTGAGCCAAAGTCAGATGCTTAACCCACTGAGCCACCCAGAGCCCCCCAAAATTATATTTCTGAGACAAGACATTTTGAAGATGCAATCTCATGAATAACCAAACAATTCAAATTCTAATGTGTCTTAACTCTACCCAAACAGTGTGTAAGGTTTTCCCCATTACAGGAGATGCCCAATGTTGAACTATTCATCTAGACTCACTTTATTTAAAGTAGAAAAAGGCTCTTGGCCCACTCTACTCCTTACTGCTAATCACTTCCACTGCCAGCATGGAATAGAGTTTAAGAGCATGGACATCAGTGGTCTGAGTTGAAATCCCAGCTTAGTCATCAGAGGCAGAATAACCTTGGGCAGCTGACTTCAATTCCGAGTTTCAGTTTCCACACTTGTGGATGGAGAAAATAAAGCTCACTGGTGGGATCACTGAGTACTCAGGGAGATGACACGTGTCATACACTGTGGCATGCAGATGGCAGGTTATCCTCTCAATACATGCTTTTCACTGTTACTATTTGAAATGAACTACAAAGGGAAATGGAAAATTGGATGCCTTCACTTGAAATTAGTGAATTGAAAGCATTTCAGATCTGTGAAGACAAATTGTCTTTAGCAAATATTCTAATCTGAGGTGTGATTTTAGTTCTGCATTTTGTAGTATTAATAGTTACAGTTACTATTTTTTGTGTGCTTAGAATGTGCTGGAAAATGTGCTAAATTTTTCTTTTCTTTTTTTACCTTTTAATTTCATCTTTATTGCAACACTCTAAGGTAGAAGTTATTTTAAAGATAAGGATCTTCACAGAAATTGTTATTTTGAAGGTGAAGATCTTGAGGCTCAGAAAAATTTGAGTTTCTTCCCCAAACTGCTCAGAAACTGACTTAGGATTTGGTCTTGGAGTTACCAAGGCCTTTAAGTGAAATAATTTAATTATGCTGTCTTCCATAACCCATACAAAATGACTCTAATTTGGAGTTTGTTTCTCAAAACTTATGTGCATCTCATTTTTGTTAATATAACTATACCTTCTTACAGACTTTCATTTTTATTTTTATTATTTTTTTAAGACAGAGAGAGAGAGAGAGAGAGAGAGCGCATAAGCAGAAGGGGCAGAGGTAAAGGAACAGAGAAAATCTTAAGCAGGCTCCATGCCCAGCACGGAGCAATATGGAGCTCCAATTCATGACCCTGAGATCATGACCTGAGCTGAAATCAAGTCACACACTCAGCCAACTGAGCCACCCACGCACCCTAAGGACCTCCATTTTAAAGCTATTTTCCATGAATGAAATTATGAGGTGACATTTTTCTTTAAGGAGAAGAAACATTTTGTGATGTAAATTATAATCATGAAATTAATCCATTTGGCAAGTATGGCAGTATTTTAATTTCTCAAAGGAAAGCATGATTTTATATCTATTTGTATTAACACTGAAACTCATATTGTCGTGCTTCTGCTCCTCGCCTTTCTGTGTGATTTTTAAAATTTAGAACACCCATCAGTAAAGCTTTCATTCACTATGAACCATAAGAACATTAGAGATTTAAAACGGAGGCATCAAATGAATTTAACGATTAATAATACTTTACAGTGCGTGTAACAAACACTGACTACAATCACTTCTTAGTCATTGCAAAACTCACTCCTCAAAAAGTAGCCAATAGATGTCTTCTATTTTCTAATATATTCAAAGCACATAGCATTATGGTTGCAACAAATATGTCAATTAAAGAAAGCAACTGTCACTTATCAGAGCATATGGACTATTCTTGTCCAAGGTCAGCCTTAGGAAGAGAACAGAGTTCAGAAACAAGTCACTTGGGTGTTTCCGAAAAATGGTGGCTGGGTTGGCATGTTTTCCTGGTGAAATAATGAGAGGCAGAGATAGAGGCATCCAAAGCCTCAGCCTGACACTTCCCACCATCAGATGCCCACATCTGTGAAAAACATGACCATGATGAGGCCGATGGGGATAAGAGCTGGCTAACTTGCTGGAATTCTTCTACATTTAACTTCTCCAACAGAAAAATGAGGGCAGAATGATGAATCTGTCAAGTCTTCTACTTTAGAGGTATTTTTTGCACCTATTTTTAAAGTAAATAATAACTGAAAATATACAAAGACCTTGTTTTGTCCTATCCTAGCAGTGAGAAAAGTCAACAGCTTTTTGGTGGAAAATGCTTGCTCAGTGGAAAATGCTAGAAAGACTTCCTGTTTGGCTATTCCATATCCCTGGGATACTGAGTGTCTTCTCTATGATACATCTTTGTTTCAGAGGAAATAGAAATGACAGAGAAAAGAAGTGGAATTTAAAATAAAACCTAAATCTTTCAATGTCTTAGGAGAAATATTTTGAAGAGAAATTTGATGAGAGTTTTCATTCACTATGTAACCTTAAAATTTCAATTTTATTCATTATAATGAAAAAAATAGTTCACCTGGCTATGTTAGTAATTAAAAGAAAGTTGCCCCTTACATTTCATTAATATTTAGAGATTATTAATACCTATATTCTTTAACTATTGACCAAAAAATACTATAGGTACTCTGAATGCTCTGGGCTAAGGCTCTAATATATATTATCTGAATTAAACCTCTAGACATACAAGGTAGAATTTAAGGCCCATATATGTAATGTGCTTAAAACAAGAGAACTCATAGCAAGTTCTCACAGTTATGTTATCACAGCAATGATTATTCTCTTTTCCTAGGCTTAGAGGCGTCCATAATTTGCCTAGTTGGTGGAGAACTAGGATTTGAGCTGGGCTCTCTGACCCCAAAGCCCCCATTATCCAGTACTCCGTTGCAAGTTGTTAAAATTACATAATTTCTTGTCTTTGGGTTCTAAGGAACCCCAATCCATGCATTGATTCATCTCTCTCTCTCTCTCTCTCTCTCTCTCTCAGGGCCCTGGTCTGGGTGATACAGAGGTTTGGGTCCCAGTCCTGAGTCTACTGTCTATGTGGTCAAGTTACCCATTAGCTTCCAGCCTCAGTTTCTGTAAACAATTCACTCATGTGATCTGAAGGCCCCTTTTACACTGAGAAGCATGTAACTCTCCCCCCTCCTCCTCCTGCTTGCCTTCCCTCTGCTTTCTTCTCTCCCAAATACATGAAAAGCCAAATAAGCAAACAGAATAAAAATTCAGCCTCCAATAAACCACTTAGCATCATGTTAGGCAATTTTAACTTGTGAAGAGCTTTTGGTTTAAGGGTTTAGATGAACCATTAGAGACACAGGCATACTAGAAGGAAGAATATGTACTTGAAAATTTAATGATTTTGAATCCTTATGAATATAATCACCCTGCTGAGAGAGTCACTTGTCTGAGGGGGGAAAGAGAAAAACTCACCAGGTTCTCAATGGCTCATTTATTTATCTGCTATTTTTAGTTGCAGGTTTACTTATTTCAGATGAAGAGCTAATAATGAATGTGCTGTGTGTTCACAAACTCGAAATAATAATGACACAGTTTCTCTTTAAAAAAATGCATGTCCTAAACAATGAAGAAAGATCTGTGTGTTCTATTTTACAGTGATTTCTCTTTTTCATAGAGAGATCCAAGTTACAGAAATGTACTTTCAACATGGAATGGGGAGGGAGAAATAAACTTTCAGTAACCTGGACACATCTAAGCAATGCCTTAAATCTTTTTTTTTTTTTTCAAAAAGTAACCTAGGTTGAAGAACACAGTACCTTACAGTTGGTTAGTCACAGAGGTTTAGAGGCAGAACTGAAATTCTACGTCACCTCATCACTTACTGAGTAAACTTGGGCAAGTCCTCTAACTGCTTTGGGACTTTGTTTCTGCACCTATTACATGGGAACAATTACAGCCCCTTCTGAAAGTCATTCTAAGATTCAAATAAGAACCATGAGAGACTCTTAACTATGGGGAAGAAACTGAGGGTGGCTGGAAAGGAAGTGGGTGGGGGGATGAAGTAACTGGGTAACGGGCATTGAGGAGGGCACGTGATGTGATGAGCGCTGGGTGTTGTATGCAACTGAGGAATTACTGAACCCTACATCTGAAATTAATGATGTACTATAGGTTGGCTCACTGATTTTAAACAAAAATAAATAAATTAGTGAACTCGGAAAAGAAAATGTTTGTAAAGGGCTAATCTCTTCAGAGT